TGGGAAAAGTGTGGCTTATTACAATATTGCCTTCAACCTTTCAGTTTTAAAATACATTTAGATAAATTTTGTGACATTTAATAGTGCAGTGATCTTTTAAAACCTTGAGATATTTCGCGCTTTAGGGCATTTAAAGATAATAAATTATATAAAAAAATAATGATAATAATTTACGGTAAGTAATTAATACAATAAAAACATTGCACTTAAATAAAATAAAGTATTAAAACGACGTTTCTTAAATTACAAATAAATGAAACGTGTTCAAAATGTTCTCTTACCTTCATCAGCTCCTGATGAGCCCTTCTTGACAAGCTGCTGGAGCGAAATAAAAGAAAGCGCCAAGAAAACAAAAACAAGTCGCTCTTGTTAAGAAAGTTGAAGGCTAAAAAAATAATAACCTTTCATAACTATTGTGTCGCCATCTACATTATGTAAACACCAACGCTCTTAGTGTGAAAATATTTTTTTGTTTCTCTTTCAGATCCAGGTTTTGATTTTTTAATAATTTCTTTTTCAATTAAGTGAGGTACCGTCCATAAAGCAGGAGGTGGTGCCAGGTTATACCCGATAAGAGATTTATTTCAAAAAGAGGCAATATAACTGGTCATTTCTTAATTTTTCTATATAAAAAAAATATTTTCGATAAACTATACAAATTTGTAACCCTTTGACGCAGATGGGACACAGATCACACTTCTCATTTTTTCTGACGCTTTAACTATACTTTGTATTTTCTTTAATTACGAAAAACTGTCTAACAGCTACTAAAAAGTATGTTTGATTATCAAATTTATGTTTGAACAAAAATATAAAAACCATAAAAAAGTAGTTTGATTTTTTTCCCCATTCATATTCAAAAATTTATCAATAATTGACAGTTTGTAAATTACAGTAATTTCAATAAAGAATAACTGTGTCTCTTAAATCTGAAAATAGGTTAAAATTTGAAAAATTATTGTTTGAGAAGTGTTTAGAAGATTTAACGCAGAAAAAGACACCGGTGTTTCATGCTGTATTGCATAACCACAAATTATTAAATTGCTAAATATAATATTTTTAACTTCTTTTGACTTAAATTATACAGAATAATGAAAAAAGCACGAAAAATATGCTTTATAAAAATTCCCCGTCAAAGAGTTAAGTAGAGCAGTGGCGAGGTCCCAGATTAAAGGTTGAGGCCCCTGAATATTCATTGTAAAGGAATAAGTCAACTTAATTAAAAATTGAAGCATTTAATAAAAATATCTGAAACTATTTTTTTAAATTTCTACTAATGTTTAAAAGTAAGTTTAAATTATTGTAAGATAAAAAATTTATTACTTTGAAACATATTATTTTTCCTTAAATTCAAATAATATTTGAATTGTATTGTTCGAAAATTTAATTACTAAATTTATCATATCTAAAGATTATACAGGTGCGTATGACGAGGTAGGGGTGAGGGGCCGGCACCAGGAGTCCAGCCGGAGGGGGACATCCAATGACTAAGGATAACTAAAACTATAATTCAAAAAGTATTTGTATTAAAAATTATTATTAAATTTTTATTATTATTTTTATAATTGCAATTGAAATTTTTATCAGTTAAAACTTGGCTATAGCCAAATATTTTATGAAGAATATATAATATGATTTTAATGCAAACTTAGTGATGAAGTTTTAGGTCTTTTAGATTTGAATATATTTTACATCTACGAAAAGTATTTTTGGAACTATATTTTTTACCATACTATGATTACAGCACAGATTTACGTAAAAATGAGTTTGAATTACAAATTAAGATTTTTCTATCGATATTTTAGAATTTTACTCTCTTTTTTCCATTTATTTTTCTATTTATTTCTTTTTATTAAGATTTTTGTATCGTTGCTGACTACAGTATTACACTCCGCTTTTCAGAGGAGTTTTTCCACAGCATGCACATATCTTTTAACACCACTGCGAGCAATTTTATTCTGCATTACAGACAGTTCTCATACAGTTCTATCGTTAAGTATAAGTAAAATAAAAATGCTCTTGTCAAATAACCATTAATTATATTTTATTATTTTTCTTTTATTTTTGTATTTATTTTTGTTATTAAATACTTTTTATATCTTCGCTGACTACAGTATTACACTCTGCTTTTCAGAGGAGTTTTCCCACATCATACACATATCTTTTAACACCACTGCGAGCAATTTTATTCTGCATTACAGACAGTTCTCATACAGTTCTATCGTTAAGTATATATAAAATAAAAATGCTCTTATCAAATAACCATTAATTATATTTTATTATTTTTCTTTTATTTTTGTATTTATTTTTGTTATTAAATATTTTTTATATCTTCGCTGACTACAGTATTACACTCTGCTTTTCAGAGGAGTTTTCCCACAGCATACACATATCTTTTAACACCACTGCGAGCAATTTTATTCTGCATTACAGACAGTTCTCATACAGTTCTATCGTTAAGTATATGCAAAATAAAAATGCTCTTGTCAAATAACCATTAATTATATTTTATTATTTTTCTTTTATTTTTTTTTATTTTTGTATTTATTTTTTGTTATTAAATATTTTTTATGTCTTCGCTGACTACAGTATTACACTCCGCCTTTCAGAGTTTTTCCCGAGCATATACCTATGTCTTAACACCATTGCGACAAGGCAATTTTATTCTGTATTGCAGACAATTCTCATAAAGTGCTTCTATTGGTATGTATACATAAAACTAAAAACGCTAGTGTCAAATAGCTATTAATATAAATTTAATGAAGTATTAGAAGATTATGCAACTGGATTCAAAGCTTTTAAAATAACAAAAATGCACGGAATAATGCTTGCTATGTTGACAGACGCAAAGATGTAGAGAATAGTATGAAGTAGCAGCATTTTCTTCATTGCATGCAGATAACAAGTAGAGCTGCGCGATATATCAATAATTCGTGAAATATCTATATACTTTAATTATCCTGATAACGATATAAAAAATATATTCTCGCGATACGTCGTAAAGATATTTGTTTAATAATTAAAATTATGTTAGTTTTTTTACTTCAGAAATGTCATTACCATATAGCAGTGTTTCCCAAAGTGTGGTACGGGAACAGTTTAGTGGGGGTACGCGTTCTTATGCGAAATATCTTGAAACAAACAAAAATTTCCAAAAATTTTATTTAAAAATAAAGCTAGCCATGAAAATGTACGATTACGTATTTTTCGATTGGCTATTTTTTGCAGAGTTAACAGTTTATAATTAGTGGTATCAACAGCCAGTTGTGATTTTTTACTTTTGTGCAATTCTTTTATAGTAAAATATACATTCATTTTTTATTAGTGGTACACAGCGTTACGAAAAATTTAGAAAGGGTACACAATAGTCATAAGTTTGGGAAACACTGCCATATAGTATGGCAATTTTACCAAAATTGTTTTCTCCGTGTACGATTAGCATACTTTTGTTATGATCTATTAAAACAAATTCCGAGATTATGAAAATCTTTTTATCAATGAACTACATCCTGGTTATCTACCTCAGAAATCTTAAGAAGGCTGTGAATACTGCCCAGGCTATTCGCAAACTTTATTAACATTTATAATTTATTTTAGAATTATTTCAATTATTCATCTTTAAGACATTCATCACTGGTTCAACGTTCAATAATACGTATGATTAACTGGAAATACAGGGCAAGCTTTATGTGGAATTGGAATTTCATGATGCTTGATTGTTCAACCATAGAAGTCTCAACCAAACACCTCTTTTTTTAAATGTTTTTTTCTCTATGGATGTCCTTTAACCATCCTTAATTTTTCTTAAAACTTGATTTTTATGGAGTGATTAGGTAGGTATTTTAAGTGTAAAACGAAATGTTAAATAATTTTTCACTGGTGGCATTAATTGTTCAAGTAGTAGAAATCAAAATACAAGTATTATTCACATTTTCATGGAGAGAGTTATAAAGTATCACTTAAAGTTTCGTTGGGGGAAATACACAGTGAAAATAAAAATTATTTTGAAAAAAAAAACATGCCTTTATAATTTAGGCAGTTTTTTTTTATTTCTTTATTTTAATTTTGAGTGAAATCAGTCAAATAGCTTTTAAGAAATTGAATTTTAAATATACGATTTCTCTAAAATTCAATATCTTAGGAACTATTTTTCTCAAATTTTGTATTTAGTTACGTAAAATTACATTCTTTAAAATAATGTAAAAACTTGTAAATCTTACAATTCAAAACTGCTTTGGCAATGTTTAAATAAAATAATAAAAAATAATAAATAATTCTTAAAAAATATTCTGTTCACGGAAATACTTTCGAATGAACGAATTTTATAATAGTGAGCAAACATAAGTTGATAAGCTTAAAAAATTCTCAAGATATGGCGAAATACACAAAAAAGTAAAAATAACATTAATGAATTCAAACTGTGGACCCTTCTTTTTATATCATTGTTAGGACCAGATTTTCTAGATTACGGCTACCCCTTGTATATTGAGGGTCAGAAATTCAAATCTGTCGAGAAAAAAAAGGCTTGTTTTAATCAGAGGAAATACGTTTTTGTGTCTGAGCTCGTAATTTAAAAGATAGTTTGCACTAATGAATAAACATATTTCAGGTCAACTCTTCGTACCATTAAGATTGAGTCCTGAACATCTTATCAATAGATCAAAAGTTAATCAGAGCGATATGATTTTTTTCGCATAGTTGGACATCCCCATGCTATTTAATTCCTTATATAAATTTTAAAGGTTTCTTTTTTTTTAAATGAGCCAAATTTGTTTTAACTATCAACATTTTGAATGGCATTTTCAAAAAAATTGTTTTTCCTCCTGACGCGGTGGAAATTTTTCAAAAATTCATCAAATTAATGTTATGACAATCAAACTATTTAAAATGAAATTTTTCTTTTCAAATAAAAATACTAACCAAATAATGAACTGAGATGCAAATGTTTTCAAAAATATAACATTTATTTTCAAACAAAACATGCACTCATTTATAAAAATCAATACTTCAAAAACTTTCAAGTAGTACAAATATAATAAATTGCTAAAAAATATTATTAAATAAAAATTATGATTTGTAATAAAACAAAGAAAAATATAGCGATCATTAACAGGTAATGTAGCTTATGACGACAGTGCGTAAATGTGTAATTTTTTTGTTTTGTTTTTTATTTTAAGTATACTATTACCGTCCTTTGCATAAAAATAAACGTAACAAACTCTAACTAAAGTTTTGTATTGAAATTCAAAAGACAATCCAAAAACATAACATGTACAATATAAATACAATATAAATTTATAGAAATTATTTATTGTTTTACTTATATAATATTACTTTCAAATTTAACTTAGTTCTCGAAGCTGGTTATTTCTTAAATATTAAATATTTGCTAAATATTTGAATTAGCTTTGAAAGCTAAACAAATATTAGGTCTAAAATAAATTTTATTTGCAATTATTTTGCACATCATGCATTAACTTTAAAAAAGTGCTTTTAACAATTTCCTATAATATATAATAAGCAATGAAGACACAGAAAATCTAAATATATTTATCACAGAGACTTTGTTCGGAGCGATCAGTACCATTAATAAATAAATCAAAAAAAAATATATAAATACATTTCCTTATTTATTTTAAAACTTGATACATGCTTTATCATCAACCCGAACAACTTTTTCAACTGAGGCAACATATGCTTTACCAAGTTCTTAAAATAAGATTTTTGTCAGATTAAGAAGTTCTCAGGAACAATTAATAACAATTTTTCTCAAGAACTGATCAGAGCATCGAAAATCACGTTCTAAAATCTGTAAAAGTTGCATCGGGTGGAAAAGTTGGCCCAATTTATGGAATGAAAAGCATTTGAATTGAACAACAATAGTAACTGTAAAAAAAGTGATTAAGATTGCACTGAAGTAAAATATTGTTCAAATCTCTCGCAAATTTTGTAAGGTGCTAAATTGAACCATTTGTCAATTAAAAATAAAAATGCAAACACGTGCAAGTAACTTGCGATTCAAATTGACGCATTACTAAAGTTGCAGGGAATTTGCAACAATTGTTACACCAATAATTTTAACAGTAAGAAAATGGCTTCCCGCATTCATTATTCATTCTCTTTTCTTATCTAACTACATATTTAATTAGGACATAATTAAGAGTCATTAACTTCTGTTAAGACTGATAACCAAAACCAAAATACAATAAAAGCTGCTATGATTTTAAGAGGTATTCCCTTAAATTTTCTTTTTGTTTTTCTATACCCTTCTCTCCTAAGTGGGCTTTCTACCCTTTCTTTGTAAGTTAGAATTGCATTTCGGGCTCCAGACCATTTATGAGGACCTTGCAAACGATATTGATACGGTAATGAAGGTCCCAGCCACAAAGCCCAAAACAACTTAGGATCCGTGAAGAATATCTTGAGAATATTAGGCTTAGCACCGAACTGAGAGGTTATGTCGTCCATATACTCAATATAATCGACTCGTGTTGTTAATCTATCGCTCTTCTTATATCGTTTAAGGTTATTTCCATAAGTCTTACGAACTTCTGTAAACATTTCATCAGTTGAAGGAAATTTCACTTTTCTATTAACCAAAAGTGCCGCCCATCTACATTGTGACTCTCCCAAGGGAAATCCAGGACCTAAGGGCAATAAAAATCCTAGAATAGCAAGTGTGGGATGTGGTAATTGGGCGGGATACATACATTTATAAATATTAAGGCAGTCGCCATCTTTAGTGAGTATATCATCGCTTAAGAAGGGAAATTTCCATTGATATCCTGTTGCCATTATGACAGTATCAATCGCGGTTACCTTTGTTTCACCTTCAAATATGACTCCATTTTCCGTAAAACATTTAATATTATTTTTAACAACAACATGTCCAGAAATAATTTTGGAAGGCAAAGTATCTGACAGAACTGGATCCTGTGACCAAGCAGAATGAGGTGGCTTAATACTGTAGAGTGAGTGATTGAATTTCAGCCTTTCAATAATTCGTTCAAAGTTATAACTACTCCATGATAATGGTACTGAACGAAACACAAAATCTGACCATCTCCGTAAGTAGCACATATCAAAAGGAAGACCATATGGGCCCAATCTCGGAAATACCCAAGCTCCATGCCGGCTGCTCAGATATACCTGTAAGAAAATTAAACAATAAATTTCGAAGTTGTAATTCAGAGGGGCTGTTAAAATATTACGTAAGCATCTAACGATGGATTAGGATTAGTGATTTGCTTATTTTTGCTGATAAGAGGAAAAGGGAATGATCAGTACATAAAACACTCCTGTAGCGCTGTCGGTTAAGGCGTCGCTCACACCACTAGTTGGAGAACTTTGGTAAGGAGTTCCATCATGACAGTATACAAAATAACTGACGCATATATCCTGCAAGGGGCACGTTAAAGCTGTCATTTTTTAAAGTTCTCTCGTTGGTTATGGTGGGGAAATTTGGAGAGTGGGGTACCAGCTCAGGCACTGCCCACGTCGTCTGACTAGGATCAAATTTATGTGGCATTCCTACCATGACCGTTAGAAGATAGAGCCTAAAAATGGGATTATTTGGTGTTAGGTGCTTGGCAATGGTAGGGTGATGATGCTGAGCAATGCTTACGTAAGACATTAAGATCTCATTTACAAAATTTTATTAGAAAGCAAAATAAAACTGCAATAAAAATAAGAAGAAATTTTTTTAATTTGGAATAAAAGTAGAATTTGAGGAAAGAAAAAAAACTGGAAAACATTTCTTTGATGGTCTTTAGAGGTCAACAGTTTTGGGCAGAAAAATGAAGCTCAAAAGATTCCTGAAAAATTTCACAAAACAAAAAATCTACTCAAAATCTCACAAAATGAATTGAAACGTAAATTTTGCTTCATTCAAAATGAGTAATGACACATTTCATTTGAATTTAATCGTAAAATTAGATAACCATAGTAAAAGTGAAAGCAAAAACCAAAGGGAGTTCTTGTATAAGCATGGTGGGGGAATTGTGATTTTCTGACAAGGTGGGAGGGGGAGTTAAAAATGTTCAAATATATGCTTACGTAACATTTGAACTGCCCCAAAACAAAACACAATGAATCAGTGATTATAAAAATAAGACGTGGGCTATCAAAACTATACCTTATTTGAAACGTTAGAGGACTATACACTCTCAAAAACTATAATAATAGTAATTTTAAATTCAGTTTTCGTTTAAACTTGTCAAAAGCTGTAGCTACATATTTGTTTGAATTTCATTTTCGTTCAGGTTTATCATGTAATCAAGAGTAATCCATGTTGCTATGATATTGCAAAGTTCAACTATCCAACAAATTAACCTGATGCTTTGATTTAATATTTTAGGTTGGATGACCTTTCTTTTAGGGTTGCAAGACCTATCTTTTGGGTTGCAAGGCCGTTCTTTTAGGGCAGCATGACATTATTTAAAAGCATTATTATTACTATTTAATTTTGAAATATTTTAATACTTTGAAAACAATTTTAAAAACATACTTTTGCGTTTTTTCCTTTTTTTTTAGAATTGTTGAGCTTAAACATGCGATTTTACATAACTTTAAAAAGATAAATAAATCTCTTTAAGATGGCTACAAAAAAGATGAACCATAATGAAATTAAAAAGCTGCTTTGAAATATAAATAATTTTCAATTTATTTTTTTTCTTTCAATTACGACACTGGGTCACTACTAAATAACTATTTATTTACTCAGATATTCGTTAAAATAATGACTCATGGTATTTGATGTCTGATTTCAAAATGAACGTTACTCACTCGTGCAACACTCATCCGAGTTAAGAACTCATGATTGCACTTTACTAACAGTTTATGATTTTATATTGAAGATTTCCGGATGTAATTCTGTTGTTCGACGTAAGGCAACAAACATACATAATTTTGATAAAAATGGGTAGAGAAGTCATTTATTATTTTTAACTTTGAGACTGTTACTTTATTCTGCTTACATAAATAAATTAATTAAAAATTAATGGTATATGTTATTAAAATAACAGTAAAAGTAGTAAAATTAATTTCATTTTAGCAGAAAATATGCTCAATTTTGGAACAAATAAATAGTTATTTAATAATTTTTTCCCGAGAAATTTAAAACAGTGTATAGTGATCTTAGAAAACTCAAGCTTAAAAGTTAAAGAACGTGATACGATCGTCGGCAAATATAAAACTTTAACTCATTCTTTGACATTTATTTAAAAATAAAAAAGCAAGCTATTAAACACCAAACAATGAATGTATATGTACACAGCTCAAAATAAAGTAATGAAAAACTGGAATATATTTTGATCAAGTGATCAGATTTTTACGTACTAATTTGCAGCTCAAATAAAGCGAGACTAACCTGAAACACGTCATTTACTCTCATAAGCAACATTTTAAGTTACGAAATCAAGCACAAAAACGTACTTTTTTAATAAATATGTCTTTTCTTTCCCAACTTATTCGAATAATTAACACTCAAAATATGGAAAAGGCTGCAAACTGGAAAATATGATTTCAATAGTTAAGCCAGAAGAAAGATTAAAAGCTTAGAGCGTCTTAATGTTAATCTCACTTTTTGTTTACTTCATCATAGCTCTTAAACTATTTCCACGAGTTAAAAGGTTTTTGAACACAAAAAAGAAACTCGTTGTACCAGAAATAACCCATGTAAATGTTTCTTCATAATCATTTATTAACTTATTTTATTCCTTAATTTAATAACGTTTTTAATCGTTTACTGATTTTTAAATTATGTGATTTTAAATGAAATTTAAAATTTGAAAAAAAAAACTGACTGAATAGTTCCCAAGTAATGCATTTTTGCTTTTTAATAAAAGTCGATATTTTAAATATTTATTTCTTAAAAACTATTCCACCGATCCCATTCAAATTTTGGATTTTGTCACTTAAAAGTTTATACTTCCAAGCAATATTAATTATTAACTAAGTAATTTTAAATGAAATTTAAAACTTGAAAATTCGACCAAGTAGCAAGAAGTAATACATTTTTTAAAAAAAATAGAATTTTTAAACATTTATTTCTTGAGAATTACTCCACAGATTCCATTCAAATTTTGGATTCTGTCACTTAAAAGTTTATACGTTCGCACAATATCAATTATAATTAAGTAACTTTGAAGGAAATGTAAAATTTAAAAAATCGACTGAATAGTTCCTAAGTAATATTTTATTCTTTTTAAAAATTGATTTTTTTAAATATTCATTTCTCAAGGACTACTCAACCGATACCCTTAAAATTTTGGATTTTGTCACTTAAAAATTTATACTTTCAAATAATACTTTAATACCTTACAGTTCAAAAATCCTTCGACAATCATTAAATTAAATAATAAGAAGCGATTATAATTTAAATTTTCTCAGCAGGAGATTATTTCATTTCAAATTATGATTTTTACAATTGTCTGCAAAAGGTTTTTATTTCTCTTAAAAAATGCTAGAGATATGACAGAATTAAAAAAATAAATAAATAAACAAAGGAGATCCAAAATTCAAAATGTTTTTCGGAACATATTTTTCAGGTTGCAGTTTTCATTCCTCATCCCAAATTTTGAGAGTCAAGAATCCGAATCCATTGAAAAACTGTATGTTTATTCAGAGGAAATAAGTTTATTTTGTCTTATTTAGTTACTTAAAAATTACCTGCATTAATCATTTTGCATATTTTAATGGCAATCTCTCAAACTATTGTAATAGCATCTTAGTACATGAAAATTCGATCATTAACTGTTAAGTCATTTAGGTGAGCCGCTTTTATTTTGTGCACTCTATGAATTTCATAAATTTAGTAAAATGTTTTACCATTAAGCTGCCCCAATACTATTTGTTAAAGGAAAATTACTTACTAAGAGCGAAAACGAGTATGTAAAAAAATAATTTCTAAAACATCAGCCATTAAAAAATTAATTTTAGCTCTCAAATAACAAATGTTAAAGTTCAGTTAGTTATTTTACCTCTTCGGCAATGTTACTAGTTTCTGTAGCTGCGTCTACTGCAGAACACCCAAAACCAACTACAACTACTCTTTCATTTTTGAAGCTTTCAAATGTTCTTAATTGCTTGGAATGAATTATTCTTCCTTTGAATTTTTCTTGTCCTGGGAACTTAGGCATATTGGGGTATCCAAATTGTCCAGTGCAGACAAACACTCCATCATAAACATCGGTCATGATCTTGTTGGTCATGAGGTTTTTGACCGTAACTGCCCACCTCCCCGTCTCTTCGTAATCTTCAGATTTACGAACCCGTATGACTTCGTAGTTAAAGTTCATATGTCTGAGAACGTCGAAATTGTTCACGTATTTGTTTATCATCTCGTAAACTTTTTTGTGTGATAAATAGTTGGGAAGATCTTTTGGTGGTGGAAAATCACTAATAGCAGACATTTCTTTACTGTTATTTGCCACCGTTGCAGAGGTTATAGCAGCTAATCCTATTTTATTTAAAAAAAAAAAAAAAAGAATTATTAGCATTATATATGATCATATGCAGATATTGTTCATTTTAAGATTGGTTATAAGCAGAGCTAGACTTTTGATGATAAGTTCATTTTTTTTACGCCTTTTTGGTCCTTTGAGTATTTTTTCGAGTGCTCTTTGTTTAGTCATTTTTAATTTTAAGATTTTTAATTTTAATTTTTTTAAGAGCATTTTGCTTGTAAAAAACTGTTTCTCCTAATAAATTATTGTATGTTTTGCATTGAATCTTCTATTTTAAATATGCTCCGATAACAAATATTGATATTGATTCAAGTTTTTTAAAATATAAACATTTGATTTTGAACTAGTGACTTGCTTTTGGTTTTAAGAATATCAGAAAAAACACTCTCTAATGCAATAAAATTCTGATGTACTTGATTGTAACTAAAAATTAATAATCTTTATTAGGTTTTCATTTACAATTTATTTTATTATTAATTACATATATAATTTAATTACTGCTTTAAGTTCTATTATAAGTATAGATAAAGGTTAGGATTTATATATATTTTAAAAAATACTCATAAAAAAACATGGAGTCGAAAATGTATAGGACATTCTTTTTCAATATAAAGTTATTTTTTTATAGTTTTTAGAGAGATTTTTTTGTCTCATTTTCAAGGGCTCTTTTTGAAAAATTTTAGGTCATCAGCATTTTAGCCCTAGGGTTTCGTTTTCCAGGAATATGAAAAAATTGAAATTTAAAACAGTACGTAAGTGAGTAAAAGAATTCTGTCGCCTCATAACATCCCTCTAAAAAATGGTTCGACTATAACTATGAAACTACTGTTTTTAAACCATGTCGTTTTTAGGGGAACGTTGATTTTTTGGTTGATTTGTTTTTATTCATGATTGATGGTCATATCTTTTAGAAACTGGGAAAGAAATTTTAGAATGATGTCATTTATATGAATGGGGTCTTATATTACCCCAATTTTAAAAGATTTGCATAGATTACACCTATATGTCCTTGTAATCAGATAGATAAATTACAATGATGAGGATATTATTTAGAAAGTGGCTAAGAAAATTTTGACTGATATCTTCCATGTAGGAAGTTTCAAATTATCTCTCATTTCTTTAAGAATTAGGTCAATTGCACATGCATTTAATTGTAATCATATAAATAAATTACAAATGTAATGAAAACTGATTTTTTGTGGATTTTTTTAATGATCAGTGGTGAATAAATGATTGACTAAACAATTGCTTAAACAATTAACTAAAACCTTAAACTACTTAAATAAATGAATCCTTTCATAACTAAACCACTAACAAATCAAGAAAATTATAATTAATCCAAATACTAACTAATTAAATCACTAAAGTTCCAAGTTAAAGTTTAAGTCTAGTTAAGGTTGAGTTAAAAGTTCCAAGTGCTCTTACACTCCTGAAGTTAAAAGTTCTGATTCGTCTAGTAAAGTAAGTTATAGTTAAAATTTCTAATTAGTCTAGTAAAGTAAGTTAAAGTTAAAAGTTCTAAGTTAATCCAAATACTTACAAATAAAATTATTAAAGTTCTCAGTTTCTTACTAAAGTTCATCACTAAGTCACTTACTAAAGGTTTAAAGCTTATGCTTTTAGACCCATGTTACTTTTAACAGTACATATATTTTCTCGTTGATTTGATACTATTTAGGAATTAGAAAGAAAATTTTATAATGATATGTTTCTTCTTATATAAGGATAGTTTTCAGATTGAATCTACATTTTTAAAGACTTAGATCGATTGCACATATATTTAATTGTAATAATATAAATAAACTGTAAATTTAACTGAAATTGATTTTGTGGTTTCGTTAATAACTGATTTTGTGATTTTGTCAGTAATGATTTAAAATATGGTAAGTAGTTAGTCATTCAAGGAAAAAGAAATTGATCATTGTTTTTTTTTCCCATTGCATAATTAAGAGAAATATTTCTCCCCTTTCAAATCAGTCTTTTCACACAATGGAATTGCCGTTTTTCTACTTTTTAAGGGATTGGAATATGTTTCCTTTTCTTTCTGTCATTCTTTCATTTCACGCTTTTGTATCAAACATTTCCTTAAACAAACTAGTAATTTATAAAATTGCTGTCACTTACAGAGGAACTAACATTTTAAAGCTGGCGATCAATGTAATTATCTTTTGTTTAAGACGCAGTTAGTGTGCAAATGATTCATGAGTTGAAGAATCCGTATGAATTTTTAAAATAATGATTAAATTTGTTCCAAAAAAACATGTGATTTCGTGTCGTCTAAAACAGACAAGATAGTTTTTTTTCCAACTTAGTTGAAATGATTCTGATCAGGAAAATTCTTTAATATTCATACTTTTAATGAAAGTTATGAAAAATGGAGTAATTCGAACCTTTTTTGTTGCCTTTTTTATTTTTGATGCAAGAAATCGATGAAAATTTTTTTTAACTTTTTTTAACCTACTTCATATTTTCTCATATATATATAATTTATACACATACTTATATTTTCACTTATGAAAAAAAGTACATTAGCGTTAATGTTGCGGCATTTAAAAAAAAATTATTTTTTTTTTGGCTTTATACTTTAACCTTTATAAGTCAAAAAATAACTATTTAAAAAAGTTAAAATAACTCAATAGACATATCTTTTAACTGTGGAAAAATAGTAATTTTGTATTTTAAAGGAATATATTTGTTATTAATGATTGATCAGCAAGAAATAAGAAGTAGTTTTTATATCTCTTTTCCTTTTTTAACCCACTTTTGGTAATAAAAAGGTGAGAATAAGAATTATTTCACAACTGCCTTATAAACTTTATATAAAAATAATAAATAAATAGAAATAATAAGTTAAGATTAATAAAAATAAGTGTAAAAAAACTTCCATGATTTCTCAATGCTACAAAGTTTCATATGTTATATATCTTTATATCGACATTTGACTTAAAAAAATCGATCTGATTTTAAAATCAACTCAATTCGTCTTCGGAAACAAAAATGTTTTTCATTCAATCATTTGAGTTAGGCTAAATGTTTTTAGAGTAGTAGAAAACGCATGATATTTTTAACATTTCAGTTTCAATGCAGATAATTTTTAAAAAAAAAAAAAGTATTTGTGATCACAATGATTCAGATGCAAATCATTCTTAACAAAATTTCATCTTAACAGTCGAATTTTTCCACCTAGGTTGGAAAATTCTTACTGCAACTGACTTATTCGGTGATTATTAAAAAATAACAATTATCCAAACAATTTAAACAAAAAGTTTTTTAATTTGGTATTTTTTAAAGAAGCAAAAATTTTCAATTCTGTATGTTTTGTCTTAAGAAGTTAAACAAACGGGATGGATTTAAATAAAATAGTAGATTAAGCTAGATCGAAATACACAGTGCACAGAGTAAAGTATTTTGGAAATTTTTTTAATAATTAGGAAAATAAATGGCTTGTTAAATAAAAATAAATAGATCGTTAAATAAAATTATATAATTTTTTTATTAATTCATTATTATTACTTTTCTTGTGAACAATTTTTTAGTTTTTTTATGATTGATGATTCATTTAAAATATTAAAAGCAAAATTTTTTGGTTTAAAAAATTGCGTAAAAATTTTGTAAAACTCTACTTTTTCCAGTTTCTTATGTTACTGATATGAATTTATAAAAGAATTTCTTTAGAGATTTAAACTATTGTCCTAACTTTTATTTTCCCCCTCCTTAAAGAATATCTTTATCATTTGGCTGACATTTTATCAAAATATTTGAGCGTTGTATGAATTTACTAAACCTTAAAATGTTAGGTAAATTAATTATAAACATATTATACAAACAGCGTGTTTGTTTATTAAAAACTGACTAGAAAATTTTTTTCAGTATTATTTGTCCTTTTAGACAATTCACACTCTAACCTAAGAAATTAATTTTTTTCGTACCTTCGACATCATCTTCATGGTATCGCCATGTTCCACCAAAAAATCCAGTCTTCTCAAAGCATACTGGTTCGATACCTTCCTCTTTCAGAGTTTTTACACTACATATTCCACAAACTCCCCCTCCAATTACAGCTACTCTTTTTCGTTTCTCTCTATTCATTTTCTGCTGGAATGAAAACGATATATATAATTTTAAATAAAAATTTTATTATTAATTAGAATGCATAGAATACGTAATATAAAAAATAAATAACAATTTTGGGTTATGATATTATGTCTGATCCGATAAAATAAACTCTTTATGGTACAGAAAAAAAATCGTTTTTGTTTATCTCTAGTTCTTATTTATGAGAAATCTAAAAGGTATGTAAACATGTTTTTTATTGTTAAAAAACAGTAAAGCAATAAATATATTTTTATCTTTGAAAAAAATATAAGTACAAATGCTTTGGAAAATGCAATAGATTTAATTTTTATCAGAAAATTTCTACATGGCTGTTGCTAATTAAAGAGTAAATTCCCAAAAATTGAAAATTGTTAGACTTATCAATTTAAGTTTATTTGAAAATTGAAACCAAAACATCTTCATAGAGGAGTCACATTACGCAAAAAAAAAGGCAATTAAGAATGGTACAAAAATTTCGATTTTATTTGATTGCTATCATCACACTGAAGTTGCACCTATGAGCAATCGAAGACGGGTCTAGGTTTCATCCGTTTTGAAGATCCGAAGACTAGATTGGCTCATAAACACACTAAGCTACCGCAATTTCAATCGGAAAACATATGGCATCCGATTTCCTACCCCCTAACTGCCCAATAGTCAGTAATAATAGTTGATCGAAATAATTTCAAGTCAAAATGTTTTTTCTAACGAGACTTGGACTAGCCGAACTCGTCGGCCATAGGTCTTTTGCAAATTAAGTCAGAAAGGTGCGACTTTCGTTTGACAAGAGAGCACCTCAAAGGGGGAAGGAATGTTTTGGTTCAGAAACCCACAGATGGATGGCTGAAACCATTCATTCGTGAGACCACTTCCTCAAATTTTCTCTCAATTTTAACCATATCCTTGTATCCATGGTACTTATCAGCAACCGACCACAAGAATTTCGATGCAACAAGCGGAATCGAGGATCGAGCAAGAACCAAAATCCGATTCTCTGACCACTGGGCTACCACGGCACTTAAATTTATTTTTTGAAAATTAATTTATTATTATTTACCCGAAATCATACATTTAGATATAAATTTTATTCAAACTTGTTAAAGTCTAGCGCAAAAAGAGTAAAAGGACAACTATACTTTACTACTTGGACCACATATGTTATTACAACTGATGACAGTGAAATTACCCTAGATAGCGTTGTGAACGGTCCTGGTTTGGTCACATAATCTTGTGCAAAAGCTGCACAACCGGACATTTCTATACTCGCAAACCAGACCGAATGCGTAAAGAGCTCATTTAATCTGGGGAGAAAAAACAGTGCTAAAAAACGTGAGCTTTTCCTTTAGAAGAGGGAACTCTTATTCCATTTTCGAAAAGAGGGTGCATCGCTGATTGGATTAAAGTGTTCAGGTAAATTGCTGTAAATAATAATGGCCGTAAGACTGTTTATGTCCATTAGTGTCTATACATTATTCCTAATACCTTGTCAAAATTTATAACACTATAAACTGAACACTCCGTCAGTGATAAAAAAAAAGTATCTGAAAAGATGCTTATTAATAATTTAGAATCTAAGCTAAACAAGTATAACTCATACGTCATCAATAGTGTGAGAGTCGCGGTGGACGGAGAGCTCACCTCCCAATGAGGTGATCCAGAGCAGAAATCTATCAATGAGAGATACAAATTCTACTCCCGGTTTGCGACGACCACGGTGCTATCTTAAAATATCTTCAGTGGTCGATGAGTTATGGGTTAGAATCCCCTTGCTGTCTGTCTAATCTTGAGAGATTTTTGTGTTTTCCCTCTCCATATAAAGCGAATACTGGCTAGTTCGATCAAAAAATCCTAAACCAAAACAGGTTTGTCTCATTGATTTTATGAACGTCGTGGAACGGCCGAGCCAAATTTGGATTTACGATTACTAGTGTTCATAACCTAGTATTTTTGAATCCAATCCAGAAGACAAGGGAACTCCAGGATCAAGTATTGGGAGAAATTTGCCATCGTGGATGATTTTTTGATAAAACTAACCTACATTTGAGTTACAAGGAGAGGAAAAACACGAAAACCACCCAAGGTTAGCTTGTCGACAAGGGGACTCTAACCCATGATCCGACTACCTCTGAGGATATTTTACATCAGCACTGTGGTCGGTGCGATCCGGGTGCCGAATTCGTTTCGTCTAACCATTGCTGGGATTCGAATCCAGTTCAACTAATTGGAAGGGGAAAGCTCTATCTTCGGAGCTACCACGGCTCTGTCTCAATGCTTGATCCAAGGGTCCCCTTGCCTTCTGAGTTAGGTTCAAAATTACAAGACTAACGAGTTGAACATTGATAGTCGTTGGCTTTTCAACGCCGGTTACAAAATGAAATTAAATACATATAGTTAAATTTTTACTTGTATAAGGCGAGAAACTGGCTTTGTGACAACTGACCCTTGTGACTTCCCGCTTTGATTTCTTCCTTACTTTTTTTCCCTTTTCAAAATACTTGGAACAACAAAAGCTTTTTTAAAAATTAAAAATGCCCTAATTTAATAAACATATGAATAGATATTATGCACATTTTGACTCTCGTCAAATATCAGGTCCATTTGATTATTGTAATATTTGTTGAGCGTTGTAGAGTGAGCCAAAGAAAAACGGACCATCCTGAATAACTTTTGATCTAATGATCGGATCTTCGCGTTCTGGAACTCGTTCTTGATCGTTTTAGGAGGTGAACTCAAATATGCTAATTAATTTGTACTGACGATATTTTAAGTTATGAATTCAGATACAAACACGTACTTTCTCGGAATCAACATACTTTTTTTCAATGAATTTGGTTTCCTGCCCCCAAAATACCGCAATCTGGGAAATATGGTCCCCAGAGATTACTCAGAATAGCGCTCCAAAGTTTGAATGCGTTAACGTTAATTTTACTTTTTGCGTATTTCACTATATCTCGAGAACTATTTAAGCGAATTGAAAAATTTCTTCCCACAATTATAAAACTCGCTTATCCAAAGATAATTCCATGCAAAAAATATTTTTAAATAATTATTTATTATTTTGTGTTTTTTTATGAAATAACAGTCGAAAAAATTGTGAATTACTTGATAAAAAAATTGAGTAAAATCCGTTGAATAGTTCTTGAGAAATCTAATGTTAACTATACGACTTCTTTACTATTATAAATAACGATTATTTTAAATATACGACTTGGCTTACTGTACTATACAAAACATACATGTTGTCCTATGATATTTTCTTTAAATAGAAGTCAGTTTTCATGAAAAATTATGATTTTATTAGATGCTAACGATTATTTTTCGTTTTCGAGACTAATCTTTTCATCATCGGACACAAAAATACTGGCTATATTTGAAAAAACAAAATTAAATAAATGAAATAATTTAAAAAAAATAATATAACAAATTTTGTTTGTCAACTTTCGAAATTAGATATTTTAAATAAATGTAGTCAATAAAGAACTACCAAATAAGATAATTTCTGTTTCATTTAAATAAATAATGCAGCTTACAAATTTTTTTTTTTGCTTAAACGCTTTATCGTTACTATTTTTATTATACTACGATATAGTCTGTATTGAAAATTACGCAATAATAATTTTAAAAATAAATTTAAGTTCTTTGTTTTTTTTAACTGACTGCCCACTACAAAGCAAATAAGAAATCAATTTACATTATACATTAACAATTTCTCTTGAAATATGCGTTTTCTTGATTTTTTACATGTATGAAACTAAATATCTAAAAGAATTACGCATCTAAAAATATATTTACAAAAATTATGCAATTAAATATGCTGTTTAGCGATAATTCTATTAAAAAAAGTCATGTTTATATTTTTTTCTTCTCGAAAAATGTATCAAAAAATTTCTTTTCATATAAAAATAACATTAATAAAACATTCAAAATTAAACAATAGAATTTACCTTTGATACTTTACCGCTCTACTTAGCAGATCGGCAATATTGGTTGAAAGAAAACAATCACAACATCTATGCGGATGGATGAAAACTGAAGAAACCAAGTTCGAAACTCCATAAGAAAGCTACTTAACTTGACCGCATTTAGTTAAGGTCGACTTGAACAGCGACATCTTGCGTATTTATTTGAAACTAACGCTAGTTAAGGGAACTGTAAATGTAATTAAAAGATCAAGTTCATGACCATTCTGACATTTAAATAAAGTGATTTTTTAAATTTATTTATTAGTAAGCTTATTTATTTTTCTTTAAATTATTATTTGTTCAAGTTATATATATTTATTGCTATTATTGGTTATACGTATTTATTATTTTTAAGTTATACATAATTAATGCATTTTATGCTTTCAATGCGCAATGCATTTAATGCGTTTAAAATTAGTATTGAGATGAAAGTAATTAATTTGAAGTTCTTTTTTCCTGTGTTAAACTACGGGAACGTTTTTTTCGGAAACATTAAATAACTTTTCGACTCTGTAAAAGTAATTATGAGGAATACGAAACTTTTAAAACCTTTAAAGAAAGTTTATTTTAGTAATGGATTGTCATACAATAAATACGGTGACCGCATACAATAATATGACTATGTAATCAGTTGGCGTTTTATTCTGAAAAAATGTACAATGGTTCATTAAATTTAATCTTTAAATTATATTTGTTTACATGAAGATTAAGATATTTTTACAGCCAACTGATTACATCAACTGATTGTATCATTTATTCAAAACACATAAAAGTTCATTTAAATTTTGCTTGGGACGAATTGTTTTGATACAGTGAAAATTAAAAGAAAAATTGACTATTAGCTTAGATAAAAAGTTTTTCATTATTTTTTAAATGAGTACAGGAAAATATACATCTCTTTTTGCTCTCCCTTATGCTATACGAAACAAGAAAAAATGCTAAGAGACATGGTCACTAATATTTTCTTAAAAAAAAGTTGTTTTTTTGAATTTAGTTTTTACAAACTTGTCGTATTTGTTTATTATATAGATCTAACAAAAAATGCTTGTACGATTGTAAATAATTACGATTGTCAATACTTTTTAACAATTTCTCGAAAGTTTTTCGCTATTAACTTACGGTGACAGTACAAATAGTAATTAAACGCTATCTGATATCAAGAGTAATTCAGATTATCGGCAAAATAAATTAAACTATGGATGTATCTTTACAAGTAACATTACAAATGTTTACCATGGTAAAATTAAAAAATAAATAAAAACATTAATTGGAAGAAAAAAAGGTGTCATCCAAGCAATTAAATATTGCTACTGAATATCAGATTAAAATACAAATTGAAATCAATCTTTTAACTTTACCCATCTAATTCTTATTATTATTTCATAAACTGTTACATCAAATAAGGCGTATTGATCGATACTCGTAATCGAATTATAATTCATTTTTAATGATGATGATGCATAATGATCAAAAGACATAATGATATGAATATAGTTAGTTGAGACTATGAACATAATAACGACTACTAAAGGACAAACTATTTTTTTAAAATTATTTTCAATAAAGTTTCGTGAAATTGCATGAACGGGGATGAAAAGTTTTTTCTTTTCATAAAGTTCTCGTTTTAGCCCTTTTACATACAGGATTACTTCTAAACACTAGTTTATGAGTTACGTTTAATTCATATTTGGCATTAATAGGATTTTTATTATCTAACAACGCTTCTCTTTTACTAGTTTTTACTCTTCTTTGCTCATAAAAAAATGTTTAGATAATATTTTTTAGTTTTTCGAAGTGGTTTATGTCCCTGTGAGCGATAAAAAGAGCTCTACTAAGGTACTAGGGGCTTTCTAGGGATCGATCATAAAATAAAGAAAAAGTGTAAATATTTGAAAATAAGTCAATTTCTTCTTTTTGTAATAAAAATATAATTTTAAATTTCAACTTTTCATTCTAATAGTTATTATGAAATACAAGGGGAATAAACTGTTTTATCCAATTTCAAAGCGAAAAAGGAACCAAACGTTTCTCACGAAAACATATATTAAGGTTCAAAGTTTTGTTTATTTTTTAAAGATTTATTTCACGTTTTGCTTTAGAAACACAAAGTAAACAGCTTTTGCAATTTTTTTCAAATTGTATTATAAAAAGGATCTGATCGTGCATCATTTTTAAGAGATAATTTTACAGAAAAGCAAGTGATAATTTTTCGAATTTATGACTAATGAAAGATATATGAATCTCTTATGATATCGTACAAAGACTACCTTTCTATGGATTTCACTGAAAACATAGTTTGTTCACATCATCATCAAACGTTTCATTGAAATAGTGCTCGTGTTTCGATAGATATGGCACAGAAATTATATAATGCGATAACTTTACCTTAAATTCCATACTGATAAAATCTTTTTTATTTCTGTACATTTAATACTTGTATGTTACAAAGCACACTTGTAACGAATTCAGATAAAATATAAAGGAAACACTTTTATTTACAGCTCTAATTAGTCATATTTTCTTTAAATCAGTATAAAACAAAAATATTGTTTTAATTCCCTTCTAATGACAACAAGAATAATCCGTAACACGCATTTTTTTTTCATTTGCAGGCTACTACGATTGGCAACTTCTCTTAAACCTCAATCTCAATTAAATTTAGCTAATTTATATTCCCTTTTAATTTTTTAAACACTTTTTATTTTTTATTCATACTTTATGTTGCCATAGATTTTGAGGTATATATAATTTTTCCTTCGTTAGTTAATAAATGTTTATAAAAAGAAATCTGTGACTTTTTCAATTAATTTATAAGCTTTCACTATCTAATTTAAATACGCATGCTACTGTTGGCGTATTAATTATATGGTATATTATTGAGGTAGACTAAAATATGCTTTTAATCATATTTAGTTGCGAATAATTATTTGCTTTGAACTTTTAAGACTGTTTTTGACTTACCTATGTTCTCTTACAAAATTAGTTTTAATTTATTTTGAACCATACACAGCTCAATGAGTTCCAAGAAAGCAGAGAAAATGTGTTACATTATATTCTAAATCGATATAATTTATTTCATGACAAATATTTGCAAAATATTTAGCTTAATACAACGGCAATGTAAAATTCGAAATATAATTATGAGCAGGAATTTTTAAATTTTACATATTCGATACTTTTTATAAAATTATCGGGTAAATAATTATTTGTAATATGTTATTTCATTTTGAATAATTTAAGGGCGTGACCAAACGTGTGCTATATCAAAAATATTAAACAATGTGAAAAGAATATTCTTTTCTTCAAAGGTGCCGCCCACCAAAATTATTTTAAAATTATTTTTCAAAATTTTCATTTTGAAAATAGGCGGTGATCCTACATGAAGAAAAAAATTCTGGTAAAATTGCCGTGCAGTATGGTGATGATATATAAATAAAATAATAATAAATAATAATAATAATAGTAATAATAATAAAGGTTGTAATAAATATAAAATATACGGTATTTAAACCATTAATTTCATAATTTTTCGTTCATACGGTAATGGTTTTAAAGGAAATTCTGGTTTTTCAAATTATAGTTTATATTACTACAAGTTTAGTAAAAAGACAAATCTGAAAGAAATTTAACTGAATAAATGGTTTTTATGTCATGTTTTAAGGTAGCGTGATAAAATTATTAAATTTTAACACATATTATAAAGCAATATTTAATTATATAATTTATATTGCGAAGCAATAATATCACCAAAATCAATAACAAAGCGTTTCTGTAAAAATTGCCTTGCTTTTTTGGTGTTTCCATAGAATTAGAAACACAGTAAATGTTATAATGTTCTGGTAGTTTTGAACATGCTATTTTTTTCTCAGTGTATCATCAGATGTGCCCTTTACCAAAATTCTTTAACAAAATTTGCATTTTGCAAAGTAAGAGGTGATCTTAAAAAGTAGTTTGTGATAATATACATAGTTAGGTATATAATATATAATATAATTAGGATAATGTAATTTTTCAATATTGAAAATATAATAGATATTAAAAACATAATATAGGGAGGTTTTCATATATTTCTTTTTGTGGCTTGAGAATTTTTAATAAATTGCATTTAAAATAAATAAATAAATAAGAACATGAGAAAATTGTTTCAATTAAGTTTGGAGTTTATTTATTTGTAAAAAATAGGGAAAGAAATGTATTAAGAGAATAGTTTAAACCATTCAACAATTGGCAAAGCAATAAAATGCAATAATTAATAATGGTACAAAAGTAGCCATTACAAAAATTGAAACAAATATTTTCCTTTCAATTTTCATGTTTCAATTTATTTTTTTTTTCATTCAAAAAAATAATAATAATAAGCATAACGTAGAAAATATTGTCAAAATTTCCGAAATTGTTTAATTTATTTATAAATTTTGAAAGTAATAAATTTTCATAAAAGCATATTTTAACATAATTTGTGATCTAGTAAAATTCAAAACGTGTAATAAAAATTAAGCTGTGGAATTGAAATGCAACTAAAACGAATTATTTTTCGTATCTGCGAAAGGCTTAAATTGCTTTTACTTTCTTAATCTACTGAAAAACGTTTTCTAATTATGTTGAAATTTAGAACATAAATGTAACAAATGTTGGAGATACTTGACTGCGTAGGGAATCTTAAAAATAAATTCGTTTTCCTCTGGTTTTTATCTGAAAACCGTTCAGCTTGAATAATATTTTCACAGATATTGCTATTATGTAATTTTAGAAGCTGTAAATAGTTCAGATTAAATCTTTATTACTTTCACCTTAACTTCCACTCTATTAGAGCTCATTCCACTCTACTAGAGCTCATTACGTAACATAATCGCAACAAGAATAAGGGCTTAAGTATTACCCCACACTTTACTGACATTAAATTACCGCAATGTTTAGTTATATCATTCACAATTAATTGCTATGAACCAAAAACAGTAATTGTATTAGAATCTTCTATCACAAATCTTAATATAAATGACTTGAATAAAAAACAAATTCAAAAGTCACATTATATACTGATTTCTTTAGTAATACTAAATGTGCTTGTTGTTATTTATTTCTACTTTACACAACCAAACTATCTGAAACTTTAAA